ACATAACCGCTAAAAAACGAGACTGCGAGACCCATGAAATTCGACTAAAATTTTACGAGACCCAGAGTTTTTGAAGGACCATTCGCCACCCCTAATTTTTCGTTGACAATTTTAGAAAACAGGTTAAGCGTTTTCGCCGGTTCAACCGTTGCTCAGTATTGTGGCGTGTTAGGATCCTAATGACCTTTGTTTTCCTACACCGTACATTGAGAGAACTTTGTAGTCAATCACAAATAAAACATGTTTTAGCGCCCAAGTTGTTGTCGCCATGTTATAAAAGAATTGGTTCATGCTTTTAGCTGTGCGTATATTGAGTTATGGATGCACTTGGGAAGTTTGGAGAGCTCTCAATTCTTTAGTAACAATTAGTACAGCAATTCGCATGAAGAATAACAAAACTTTGGCTCTTATATTTGTGCAATTCTCTATTCTGATTGTGATTATAATTTCAACCTGTGTGATATTTTTGTATTGAAGTGAACTTCTATCTTGTTACAGTTACGAAAGAAGGCGATCAATGAGGAAAATGGGACAAGATCTCGTCGAGCTAAATCATGTGGGAATGGAAAAGGAAGTAAATTACTTTCACAACGATCAGCAAATGGTGAGAGAAATGCTAAAGAAAAGTTTCGAAAAACCTTTTCTTGCCCAGAACCTAACAAGGAGAGGAGATCAAGGACGTGGGAAGATCTAACTGATGATGACTTTTGTAGAGATACAAAGAGGAAAAGCATCGTCAAAGAACCGAGTAATAAGGAGCACAAGCATTCTTACGACGGAAGTAAAGTTACGACAATCAAAAGAAAACGCTGTAAAGCTGATGTACAGCTAAAGGTCTCGAAGAAACTAAGACAAAGCAAAACAGCTGGCCATTTTTCTAGTCATGATAATACGTTATCACAACCTGATGTCGGTGAAGCTGACGGGAGCCGCGCGAGAAAGAGAAAAAGAAATAGTGCCAGAGGGAAGCTCTTCAGTAACCCAATAGCTACAATCGATCAATTCTCTGATGCATTTGATTACTTATCAGATGGATCTTGCACAGACGAGGTACCAAACGAAATTCACACCAATGAGAATTAACAAATTAAAGGACCTTGGTTAGCAACAACAGACCAACTTGTCTTATGCATTGCCACAGGAGAAGCTACAAGAAATGACTTCTGAAGAGGAAGCATTTTGCACGTAAGAGTGGCTTCAGCCAATTACCGTGAGTGACTGAGAACTTTATTAAAGTGTCAAAAACCTTATGGCCTGGAAATAAAAACACCATACTAATTAGGGAACACTGCTAAAAAACTGTACTAATACTAATATTAATACAATAAAAAAATAATAAATAAATGACTTGAAGGGCATTATGTGCAGCATAGGATGCAGCCCTTACAGCCGGTGTCCATTAAGCGAGTTATATCCCTTTTGATCACGAGGACAGGAAATGTTGCAGTTGCCAGGTGTACAATAACACTGCACATAAACAGTGAACACGTTTGTAAAGTGTAATTGTGTCCTACTTCATTTAATTGCAAACATGATGTACCTGAAATAAAGAACGAAACGCGATGACTCACTGGCTTAATGCTCCTTTATTTCACGTATAGCCTTAATTAATACTTCAGTAAAAGTTATAATTTTTCTTTCCTCTACAACACATAATGAGCGAGCTAATCTTAAACACTTCAAAACGCTTTTGCACTGGTTTGACCGTTTGAGTCTGTTGAAACCGACGACCGACGTTGGAATCGAAGACTGACGACGAACTACCGCCAGTCAACTAGCCTGAAACGTCGGTCATCTCCCGCCCTCAGCCTCCTCCCCGGGCGAGAGACGACTGGTATGACAGCCCACAATCGAGTCTAAAAATATGACCTGCATTGCTGTCTCATTCGTCATCAATCAAGCTGCAACAATTTAGAAAACCTAATTTCTAGGTTTTTCTTCTGGAGTCGGCATGAGAATTTAATTATGGCCGAAGTCATAATTAGTTTCTCAGGTTTGCATGATTTGCTCATTGACATTAAGATAATTATGTGTGGTATTAGAGGCATAGGCTACCTATTAAACTAATTATATGTCTTAAGCCCAAGTTTTTTCTATTCCGTTCAAAATTGGCATAGCAACTGAGTTTATCATTCGCTTTGCACTTATGACATTTGTTTGTTCAATGGACGATTTGTAATCACGTTTTCAGCCAATATGCTATACTATGATTATGATTATTAAGATTATTGTGATTATTATTATTATTGTTATATTACTATTATTATTATTATTATTAATATTATTATTATTATTTATATTTTTTATTACATTTTTTATATGAAAAAAGCTCCCATTAAAAAAGCACCCATCTCATGACAAAGGGTTTTAACTGGCGCACAATTTTAAACAGTTCCACAAAGGTAATTTTTTATAATCTCGATATATTAGCTTTGTTCAATGTCGTTTCATAGATTGATAGAGTGTCTAACTTTAAAAACTTCAAAATGTAAAATTCGGATTCACACTATTTGCACGAAAATAATGCTCATACATTTATCGGGTTCCGGAAGAAATGGCGTCATAAAATGTCCCAAACCTTTGTGAAACCATTCCCTTTCGCCTCGTGCTTTCACCTTGAGTGCTGGACATTTCATGTGGTATTATTACTGCATGCAGTGTGGTCTAGATCCTGTTTAAAAATGGAAAACTTTTGGAAAACATAGAGCTTATGGTCTAGATCCTGTTCTTATGTATGTATCTATCTATCCTTAGTATAAATATACTAGCGTTCTATCACGAATGCCGTTCTGTGATTGGCCACGCTACTCACCATCTATTCCGTTGTAGATCGTGAGTGTGCGCTTGTTAACAAACTGGCGGCCGCTTTGCGTTTTCCTGTCCGTGAAGGGGATTTAGATAAAGTTTTGAACGACTAGTAGATTTACACTAAAACAATACGATTATTCGCTCTCGATTTCTACACGTGATAGCTGACTCAGGTTGCGCCCTCGTCAACTATTACGCGATAGAAATCGAGAGCGAATAATCTAATTGCTGATTACATTTGTGTCTTAATGTGCTTAATGATGTCATAGTAAACTAGTTTAGCAGCGTCCAGCCCCCAGATGAAGTCCATATGATCCCAATTCTTGATATACTTGTCGTACATCCTGTTCGGCAGCAGAGGAAGCAGGGCCCGGACATCTTCAGGGTCAGCTAGCCAGTCATTCTGCGCCCAGTACAGCGCCACAGGGACAGTCATTGCGGTTACATTGTATACTGGCGGAGTGTCCTAAAGACGGTTGCAATAACAAGTTAGTTAGTCAGCAACCCTTTGCCTACGTTTGAATTATTCCTTGCCCTTTACAGCGAGGACATTCAAATCGTGAGCACTCGTAATGTTTTGCATATTTTTAAAAGTGACTGCAGCGTATTTAGCTTTTTAACTTTGTAAAAACGCCAATCTTGCACATCATCTGCAGAGCTTAATTCCATTCTTTTGACGCTAAGTGTTCCTGGTTCGAGTGTCCTTACTCTAAATGGCCATAAAACAAAAAAAAAAAGGTGTGATTATGACAATTTCACAATGGCTTACAACAAACTGACTCGAAACGTACATCAGATGAGAACAGGAACAATGGAGATAATACGGCTTGAGACTCTTGACATCATGCATTCTATTCAAAATGAAATGATTCAGACATGCTCTGGATTCCTCTTCACCTTTCCAGGCTTTTTCCCGTCCCTATTAATAAACGTTCCTTGCAATAAAATATTGTGTCTCCGAAAACTTATGAGCCTAAAAACGAGACAACATTGGAAAGTGGGAACTGACTACATTTAAGATTTTTTTTTTCTTCAGAAACTGTTGTGTAAAAATCAGTGTCACTTTAATTTCATGACAGTAGTAGTTGAGTAATGACAATTTCGCAGAGGGTTAACGGATTACGGATGATAAAGATTGAACTAGACCGAAAAAGATATTCAACACAGTGCCATTCGGACGCCATTTGAGACCATTTGATTTCGTCGCCGGCTCACCTGTCCATAGTGCTCCATGTTTTCGCTAGCGCTTCCATAATTGTACATCTGAAACTTCTTGGATAAGTACATCTGTTGAGAGATACGTAAAAATTTTATATTCCTAAAAATTGACTGACCTGAAAATGACAATGGCGAGATAAATCACTGGTCAAGCGTGATCTTTGCATCGAGCACTGTGTATAGACAGCACTCGTGAACCGTCCCCAATTGTCTCTTATAACATAGAGACAGCTAGCTAGAGATACATCAATCAATAGTAAGACATTCATTCTTCTTCATCCTTGCATCTTACAATAGACCCTTTGCAGGATCCGGTCACATGGTACTGAATTAAGGTTACAGTATACCTTCAGGGGTGTCTCGCGCGCAAGCAATGTAGCGCGTGCAGTTTAAGTTTTAGATACCTAAACCCCTATATCAAATTAAAGCTTATGGAGCTGGCTATCAAACTATACCAAGAATT